ACATCTGCTTACCTGTATCTTTTGCTCGTTTCTCCTCCTCTTCTTTTCTCTTTTTTCTAAACTGAGCACCTGATGGCTTTGAACTTTTCTTGTCCGTCTTCCATTGGTTTTAATTTTGCACTCCAGTATGAACACCCATCCCCCAGCCCGAGGATCACCACAACATAATCTAACACACCTACACCTTAGTTCTCAGATTCACTTTAGTTTATTTCTGAGATTTCACACAACCCAGGAACAAATCATGAATACATAATGGGCTCTGATTTACATTATGAATGAAATGTGCTCTATTTGGAAGCAGCCGCCCCCCTCCCCTTTTGACAGGTTGTATGTGAGACTTTAAATCATTAAACTGTAAATTATAAATTTTAACTTGTTATTGATCCCTTTACCCCGAGTCCTAAAACGTATATTTATTTTCTTACTCTTCTTATATTTATTGTTTGTTTTCTTGCACTGCTGTAACTGGAGCCTCGTCGTCTCGTCTCTCTATATACTGTTCTGTATGTAGCGGAGATGACAATAAAGTTTACTTTGACTTCAGCAGCGAGCAGGCGCACCGGGGGCTCTGACGCTCGCTTTTCGCGTATAGAATTTAGAAAAAAACATTAAATGCAGTGCAAATTATAAGTCTGTATCATAATGTCTGCTGTTTTCGTGTTTGTTGGTTTGTTTTTATTTTTTTATTTTGCGAGCTGGTTATTAAATCCCCCGCCGCCCCGTCCTGTCCTCCCTGCCGCAAGCAGAAGGCGCACGTCGCAAACCGATGGCGCCCTTAGTCCTCGCAAATGGGCGATAGAAAACCGACCGGTGCCCATGCAATCCCCAAAATGCGCTGTCATGATGTCGGGGCAGCATGGGTGCAAGCAACTTTCTTTTGCCCGTGTCGCCCATATCAAAAACCGCTACTGAGTGTAGTGTAGGGTAGGATAAAACCACTAGAGGGTGTGTGTGACCTACCAATCAAACAAGTCGCTTGTAAATTGCACTTGAATGCAACACATCAAACAAACATCCAGAGATGTGCAAAGGTCTTAAGTGACCCCTCATTTCTTTATATTATGGTAGGAAAATTGGAAGTAGGTGCAATTATTTATTAAAAAGTATGCAAAGATACAGGGAAATACAGTATGTAAGGCAAAAACAGAGTTTGTACAATTCTAATGAGCTTTAAAGTCAATATTTGGCATGACAACCTTTATTCTTCCACACAGTCTGAACCCTCTAAGGGAGTTTTCCTGTCATGTCTTCAGGAATAGTTCTCCAGGCTTCTTGAAGGACTTTCAGAGCTTTCTTTGGATGTTTCTGCCGTTTGTTCTGTTCTCTGTTAACATGATCCCACACTGTTTCAATAATGTTGAGGTGCAGGCTCTGGGGAGGCCAATCCAGGTATGGTTCTACTGTGTTGTTTAGGATCGCTGTCTTGCTGAAGACAATGAAGCTGCTGCCAATCAGAAGCTTTACAGATGGTACTGCACGATGGATCAAAGTGTTATGTGCTTTGTATGTTCATAACTTCATCAGTTTTCACTCCAACACCACTGGCTGAAATGCAAACCATGACACAGCTTTCATCGTGTTTTATATGTGGCTGTCCATACTCACTGTTGTACCTCTAATAATAAATAAATTACCATTAAATATTGCCATTATCTGTGGCATTTTTCATAAATTCAACTCAAGAAATGGAAACGATAATGCGTTTTTGATAGGCTGCTAGCAACAAAGAGAATTTAAAAGTGGTTCCAATTTGTTTTTTGTGTAGACACAAACACTGGCTCATCCCACGAGTTAGTTGCTTTTTTTATACTTCAATGACTCATAGGTTAGTGTTGGTGGCTTAACAAAAATATTCTTCAGAAAAATGGTCAGATACAACAACTGGAATGAAAATGAGTGAAGAAATGAGTGAAGAAGGAGCCAACATCCAAATAAAAACTTTGAAGAAAGGCTCATTGGAAACAAAATAAAAAGAAATGAGGGGTGACTCAAGACTTTTGCACTGAACTACACATAATCTTTAAATTAATTGAACAAACGACACAGAGACGGGTTGAGGTCTGGTTTAAACATTTATATTGTGATTTTCAGTTTATATGCAAGAGGAAACATTTACTCTCATCTGCAAACATTTTTCTTCATCTGGCCCCACGTGTTCGCCTCAGCACATCGATATAACTTACATACTGTACTGCAGCAAACATCCCGGTAAGGACAATGACGTTCAGTTATAAGAAAAAAAAAGATACACTGTCTTCAAGGCCTTGTATGGACTCTACACCACCCCACACCAAAGCCAGTCTAAATGATCTGAAATATTCATGATATGTCATCCTGGCACACACGGACATGTCGAAGGACAGCACTAGCACCCTAAAAACGAAGGCATCGCTGCTAGAAATGGAAACCCTTCATAGTCGACCCTCTAGATAACCTCTGACCCTGTGCACCAAGAGATGGAGCAGCAATGGCACCACGAGGAAACGAGATTCCATAGACACAAAGTTGAGTTGAACATTCAGATGATTTGTGTTATAATAAACTACATGATTCGATGCTCTGTACATTAACCGGATAAAATGCATCTCTCCTTCGATACTTCACGTGGCTGAATCCAGCCGGTGCTCGCCACTTCCTGGACGGGGAACTTAAGAAGGCGGCGGGGGAACCAACGGTAACGGAGCAGCAGCTGCAACTGTACAGATACAAACTGAAGGATAAGGTCCGAAATCAAGCCAGCACACAGGGAACTCACACAGTCCACAAAGATAACCACCCCAGGCCTCCTCCTCCTCTCTCCTTTTCTACAAAGTCCAGTACAAGTTTTGCATTAAATTAAATCCAGCTGCACAGTCCATGCCATTTTTTTTGGAAACCTTTAGAAGATACTTCCTTTCTGTTTTGACCTCTGTGCAAGACTTTAAGAGTAAGGCTTCCTTCTGATTTGCATTTGTCAAGTGGTGAAACAGTCTAGAAACGCTTAAGACAAAAGATTTTACTGAATCATTGCCTTTCTTTTCTTCCAGATACATTCCATTGTGCGCTAATGTTGATCTGCTCCTCTCTAGGCTTTAATCTATTTAAAAGACACTTACACATATAAAAAAAATCCTTCCATTTACCAATCTTTAAATAATTTTATATAAAAGCAAACCTGACAATTCCTGTTCCATGAAGGCCCTCCCTAATGATGATTAACTACTACCACCATACCATCACATACGCATGCATGCACTCAATGCATGGATGCACGTTCAGTCCATTTCTCTCTCTCTCACACACACACACGCACGTACACACATGCACGCACACAGCTTCATGTTTTACAGCTTGTTGTTTACATGTTGTCCATGCAGTACCAAAGCAGAGAGATCATGATGAGTTTTTGTTGTTTTCTGTGTTGGGTCTCCAGTAATGTGGCACAAACTTGTGGCAAAGAAGCAGATGCATGATTTGGCTCAGACCTGGATCCAATAATATTTGCACAAAGTCTTATTATTAGTGTTTACTCAGAGCTGCTTGGTGTACCAGACAAGTGGGGTTATACCGTACGGGGCAAAAACTTCATGTTCCAGAGAGCTTGGATAGTTTAGACACCTCCAACTTAACCTGTTTGAGTCTAAAGTGTCCCAGTATTGTAAACCTCACTCATCCAGAAAGCCAAGCAATAAAAAAAATGAAGAACTAGCAAACACTAATTGAAGATGGTCTGGTTTGGCTTTTAGTATATACACAGTCATTTATTATCGTGTCCCCAGGAGAAGAAAAGAGTAGTCCACTAATGCATTTTTACTTCAGTATATCATTTCATTGTCTATTCATTCGTCTTCATCGTGTCCTTATCGACAAGTTCAACTACTATCCAGTAAGCTTGGTGCCATCCCCTCTTTTGGGTGGGGCAGGAGGGGGTCCTCGTCGTAGTGTTGCATAGCCTGAGATGTTTCCGGACATATAGCCACCGTTTCCTCCGTTGCTTTGCTTTCCTTGGTCCAGGAGCAGCTCAGGAGGCGGCGGGGGCAGCGCCATGTCGTCCATGGTCCCCGCGGGGTCCAACTTGCCTGAGAGGCCGGCGGAGTTGGTGGAGCCCTGGCGTCCCACTGACTTTCGCCTCAGTGTCCTGTTCAGATCCTCCAAGAAGTTGGGCTGGCCTGAGCTACCTTTTGGGGAAGTGGGTGGAGGTGGCGAGAGCGGAGGTGGTTCTGGGGTGTTGTTACTACGCCGCCCGAGCGTGGGCGGAGGAGTCTTTTTCAGGGAGCTCTTTCCCCATGTTGAGTTACTGACGAGGGAGATGGGTGGTGGTGGAGGAGGAGCCTGGGGCTGGGGATTCACCACTGCTACTCGAGGAGGTCCGCCCGTATGGGCGTCATTACCTGGAGGTGGTGGAGGGGGGAAGAGCTCGGAGGCAGGTGGAGGAGGTGGGAAGTAGGCGCACTCAGGAGGTGGGGAAGGGAAGTCGCCACCAGACTGCTTTGCCTGGCTTACCTTGGCCTGCAGTGCCAGGGGCAGGTTAGCCAGGTTGAGCTTTCCTGGTTTTGGGGGAGCAGGAGGTCCATTTGAGGGCTCCTTTGAAGGCGATCCATTGGAGGGAGGACATGAGGAGGGAGGGGCGGTGTTGCCTTGGGGAGCAAACTTGCTGAGCAAATTTCTCCTGGATTCCTCGTAGGAGTTTGAGGCGTTGGACTTGATGCTGGAGTTCCTCTGGGGGGTGGGAGGAGGTTTCTTGCCTCCAAAACTAGAGGAACCAGAGGGTGACCTCCTTATGGGGGAGCCCATGTTTCCAGAAGGAAGGGGAGGAGGAGGTGGCGTCGGACCTGTGACTGGTGCTGGGGGAGGTGGAGGAGGAGGAGGTGGTGGTGGTGGTGGTTGAGCAGGGAAGCCGGTGTTGCTGTCTGGAGGAGGAGGGGGGAATTCGGGAGACTGCAGCTGCTGGCCACCCCCACGCTGCCATTTTGGTTTGGTTTTAACTGCAGGGGGAGAGAGTGGGGCTTTCGAAGCCTCTATTTGATTGCCTGCTTGGGATGAAGCTCCTGGGAACTGACTGGCTAGCTGTTTCACCAGAGACATGGTGGGAGGGGCTCCTGTGGAAATGGTTGGTGGCTTAGACAAACTATGCTGCTTAGGCAGAGTTGGAGGGGGTTGAGTGGAGGTGTGGCCTGTCTGGAGGCTGAACTGCTTCTTAAGGGGTGCAGGTAGAGGAGGGGGTGGTGGTGGAGCTGGGGTCGGGCAACTCATTGTAGCAGGAGGCGGGGCAGGAGGGAAAGGGGAGACTGGTGACATGGGCTTGGGGGCAGTATGAGGGAGAAAGCCTGGGTTGAAGTTTTTCAGTGGTGCTGCCAGGGGTGCAGGAGGAGGTGGAAACTGGGCCGGTACTTGGAACTGTTGAGGAGGAGGAGGTGGTGGCGGTGGTGGCGGTGGTGTGGGGGCAGGTGGTGGGGAATCCTCGAGCCCGCCGTTTGGAGACGGGAGGTCCCGCGGCGGGCTGGGAAACCGCTCCTTCAGCGCTTGCTTGAGTCCACTGTGGTAGACAGGCTGACTCACGGGAGCAGCTGCAATAGCTGGTGGCGGCGGGGGCGGCGGAGGGGGAGGAAATGCAATTCCATTGGTCTGTGGAGCAGGCAGAGGAACTGGCGGTGGAGGGATGAAAGCCGGTGGAGGGATGAAAGCCGGTGGAGTAGCCGGACTGGGTGGGCCCAGTTTCAGCACAGCCATGGCAGACCCGGGGGTTGGCATGGACGGTGGAGGGGGAGGTGGTGGTGGAGGAGGCGGGGGCACATTAGTCCTTGCAGCAATGTGATTGACGTTTGGTTTGATGGCCTGCAGTGCAGGTGGTGTCAGAGTCGTGGGCAGAACCTGCTGGGCTGTAGCAGGGAGGTGAAAGGGTATCTTGCCTCCTTTCTGGTTCTGCAGCCTGGTGATGGTGCTGTACTTGTACATTGTGAGAGCCGGCGACTGATATGACACCGTCTGGACTGGTGGAGGGGGTGGGGGAGGCGGTGGTGGAGGTGGCGGAGGTGGAGGGGGTGCGGGAGCTGGTTGCTGCTGCTCCTGTGGGGGCATGTGGTTGTAGTTGCTGAAGGCCTGTGACTGTTGCTGCTTCTGCAGCTGCTGTTGATGTAGTTGAGCAGACTGTGGTGGTTGTAGCGGTGGCGGTGGTGCTGCCTGCGGTGGTGGTGGCGGAACTGCCTCCTGAGGAGACGGATGCTGGGGAGGCGGGTGCTGGTGCTGGTGCTGCAGCTGAATTGGCGTCTGGGGTTGCACCAATGGGTGCTGATGCTGTGGGGGGTGCTGCTGCTGCTGGGGGTGGGGCTGAGACTGAGGCCGTGATGGAGGCTGCGCCTGAGGCTGCTGCGGAGGCGGCGTCAGGGCTGAGTGGTCAACTGAATGCTGGCTGTGATGCCGGTGGCTGTGGGAACTGTGCGGCAGCGTGGCCCCTCTGGATGCCTCCATTCTCATCTGCGGAGAACAGAGCGAGTGTTAGCTTTGTCACGTGACTCACACATCCTCCTGCAAACACACAACTTTAACACACTGAAACTCATACCTTTGAGTTTTCCTCAATCTGGGTACCCCTCTTCCAGGCCTCTGAAAATATGGAGCTCACCACGCTCTGGGAACGCCCATGAGAGGAGCCCGTATCCACCCCGCTGTCAGAATGGCCCGAATGATTCGACTGGGACTCTGAAAAAACAAATGAAAAACTGTAAAAAGGCCTCTTATCAATTAGTAATATTGGAAATACATCATAGATGAGTCACAAATCCTTCTTAAAAATTTAAAAGATTTAACATAGAATATTTATTATGTACATCTTTTTGCTGTTTCTCAGCATTCTCCAACACAAATGTGTTTCTTTTTAGTGAATCAAGCGAGTTAAAAGTCTAGTGCCTGTTTGCATTCTTGTTCTGTGTTCAGAGTGACCTCTAACAGTAGTGAGCATGTCTGAATACACTTTACAATACGCTCCACTTCTATCTGGTAGCATAACTAGCATAACTTAGCATTGACTTAGTAAGAAAAATGGAAGTGTTTTTGTTTTTAAAGCTAAATTGCTTCCATGTTGAATTAACTATACACTGGACATGATGATGCATTTAAAGGAGCCATTAGTGGTGCTTAGCCTAGCTTGTGAGCGAACCGGGTATGCTGGCGGAGCTGGAGCCAGATCTGATGCTAGACGTAGAGAGAGAGGACCAATCGTAGGCTGCCTCTGTCCTCTTCATGGCTTCCTGGTAGTTCAAATACAGCTGCTTCCCATACTGTATGAGATCGAAGAACACAGATGCATTTCATAAATTAAAACAAAACTTTTATCTGCTTATTTCTTTGCCTTGAACAGTAACTCTGCTTCAAACCAACCTTTGCGATGCGGATTCCATTCACCCACTGGTGCAGCGTCCTGACATCATCGCAGCACAGATACTTGATGTACTGGGACTTCTTCTGGATTTGTGGATGCTGCAAATAAAACAAGTATTATGAACATTAAGTGCTCTGCACAGACACTGCAAAACGATTCAAAATAAAAGGATTTTTTTAAACAAATAACATGTGCAATTGACATCAAAGCATCCTCTTGCAATTTATTAGACAAGTGCTTATTCATTACATTAAATGCAGTCAGTAAATAAACTTTCTATTCTGATTAAACTAATCCAATCAACTTCTTTGCAAAAGATCTCCAGAGACATTTTCTAATAGCAGACTAATGGTACTAAGTGCATGGGGGTAACAGTGAAGCGCTAAGACTGCATATCTCTGGGGACTACAAGAACCATTTGATGTGTTCAAACCTCTACTTTAAACCGATGCAAAGGAGGACACGTGTACATCCCATCCATGTTATCATGCCTCATTTCTCTTGTTATAGATTTCTTCAGATATGCAGACATCTAATTATTTGACTTGCAAAATGTGTTTACAAGATCTGTATCACACACAGAACTGGACATCATCTGTAGCTTTCTTAGCCAAGTGCTCATTTGTGCCGGTTTAGGTCTCTGGAGGAACATTAAGACCTGCTGTTATTTGCAGGCCAATCAGGACAACGCAACGTTTCACCATGCAGTTACAGGGATTCACCTTCAAGGCCAGGCAGTAGTCAGTGGGAGCTTTGTATTTGCTGCGGTAGTCCTGCCCGTAATACACGTTAACATGGTCCAACTGCAGGAAGCACACGAGATCTCTGGATGCCTGTGGAGAAAGAGAGGCAGGGGACGGTGTCATGTACTGATGCGTAGTTGACCTAAAAGAGACCGCTGTTGGCTGCTGCTTCTCTGTGTGAAACTGAATTTTACCCACCACATTTGTGCTGTCATTGTATAGAAACATGGAGCTTCACTCATGCCGTTTTAGTGCATGAGTAAAGCAGTTGCAGAATGGCTTGAAATAATTATGCAAAGTCCTTCATTTGTCTACGTTTTGTGTGCATATGCTATTAAAGGTCTAACTTACATCTAGAATGCCCTATTCAGTATCAAAGCTGGGACTGAAATGTACTATGGGACTTATAAATGTCTCCATGGTGCCACTGTGAACTGCAAGTGTTAAAATTTGAAAATTACTTGGGAGGATGGTGGTGTTAAAAAGGGAGCATGTGCACTCAAACGCCACGCACACAACTGCTGTTCTTCAAAGTGATCAAAACCAAACAGGAAATGCCACAAATCATGAGTGGATCTGCTTCTCATAACCCTAAATGCCACATTTCTGTTCCTAATGTTCATTTCTGCGTCCGAGTAGCATGATCGTACACCAGCCGTCACTGACCTTGGCTTTGCCTTTGGGGACGTAGTAGATCCCCGAAGCCCTGAGGAGGAAGTAACGCTTCTTCCATGACTTTTTCCCATCTTCTTTGAGCCACAAGATGCCTTCGATCTCTGGCACAGACACTGAGCCACCACAGAAACATTCCTGAAGTATTGCACAGAAACCCATTAAATAATTCATCTAAGTAACGCTCCAGATTAGCAGGAATGATACAAACGTCTGCGGTTTGCTTTATAAAACACCATCTTACCTCTAATAAAGCCTCTTTGTTCCTGTCGGCCATTTCTGATGTCTCCTTCCGCCCCAGCAAATAGTTCTGGAAGCAATTGAGTAAAACAGTGAAGTCAGTGGAGGGATGGGAGAAAGTCTCACCTTATCCTATGTGTAAATAAATTATTCACTTTCACTTGCTTTGACCTACTTCTGACACTCCTACACAAACACACACTGTTATTCACTCTCTGGCTCTATGCAGGCACTCAGCATGCATAAACAATGCTTCTGCGCGTATAACATACAGTCGGCATTTGCACACCGAACGCAGAGCAGTTAAAAGAGGAGAGGATGTTATCTGCCCCTCGGTCTGTTGAACACGCCACCATACGTGTGCAGCTTTAACGTAATGGGCGGTCACCTGAGGGTTCTTGAAGAGGGCGTATTTCTCAATGCGCTCTATGAACATGAGCTTGTTGTGGCTGTCCCGGGTCCAGTTTAGCAGATTCTCCACCAGGTTCTCGTGGTCCTCAAAAATACGCTCTGAGAAAAAGGAGGAGCGAGAACAGGTAATGAAGAACAGGCGAGAACAGGTTTCTTTTGCCGCCCTGGAACTGGGGCCGTGACTATTACATATTACTTTGTGTATTATGCTGCGAGAACCCCTGAACTTCGACCCTATGCTACAAGCGCAGATTGAAGCAAAACCATAAACAATGTTTATTCAACTCAGGCGATTGCTTCCTTACCCATCTGCAGCTCAGTGATGGTTTCCACCAGAGACCAGTCAGGGCTGTATCCACAGTGGGACTTATCCAGCAGGCTGTCTAGCACCTGCCTGACTGTCTGCCGCTCGTCTACCATCATGGTCTTTGAGCTCTCGTCGGACATGTGGACCCTGATCACCAGCTGAGGAAGGCCAAGAGGGAAACGTTAAAACATGATATCAATATGTAAGATTTATCGTCATGCATGCGTCAGATCGGGAGGGGGTCAAACATAAGGCTTGGGGGCCAGAATTAGCCCAGCAAATACTTCAATAAGGCTCAGCTTTGGAAAATGCGGAGGGAACGGTATCCCTCAGTCTCCTAGTAGATGCTAAGAATTTGGAAGTCTTAGGTGATCTTCAGGAAATTTGACCTTTAACCTTCATGTCAAGGTCACTGGAATACAAACTCTTCTGAGATTTTTAAATGGTAAACAGGATGATTCCTATACGGCGCTCTTCTACTCTCCCGGAGCACTCAAAGCTCTTTAACATGCCTCATTCAATCATTCACACTACCATTCTTAAAAGCTTGTAAGTGCTTACTATCCAACATTCACACACATTCATACTCCAGTGGATACATCGGTTAGTATCTTGCCCAAGGATATTTGGCATGCAGACTGGAGCAGATAGGGATTAAATCGCCAACCTACTGATCAGTAGACCCACCCCACATTTTGTATTTTAGTAGATACACCTATGGTATCAATTTGAAAATAATTTTTCTGTGTAAAAGCTGAACATTTTCCAATTTGTAGCTTCAGTTTAGTGAAAGAATGACATCTTATCATGTGTTCATGAAGATCATGACCATGTCCCACATATGGCCACTAAACATGACTACGAATATGGCTGTAGTTTGGGCATCTTTAAGCAACCAGAACACGAAAGCTTAAACTAATCTGAACGCGACACACTCGCACACGTGCCAAATCCTGGATCGCACAATCGCAGCCTCGATGTGTGAAACCAAATAAAGCCCCGGATTCCTTGACCCTCCTGCATGTCACCTCCCACTGCGACCCCGACGTCCAATCGCGTGCCAATACGGATGATTGAAGTGAAGCGCAGACCAATGAGAACGCAGGGACAGCGATGAGTCTCAGACATGGGGGGAGTCTGACCTACATTTCTCACAGGAGACCCCCCCCCACCCCCCCTCACCACTCAGAGGGAAAAAAGTTAAATTAAATCTAACATCTAAATCCTTTAAGATCCATTTCTTATCCAGATGAAGTCAAACTGCTTCGGTGAAATTCAAATCATTGCTGGTCGTGTAAAACGCCGACAACAGGGCACGAATAATTTAGCACGTCAAAGCTCTCCTGTGTTAGCTGAGGTTTTTTTTCCTTCTCGTGTCCTGTCTGTACCAGTACCCTTTATCTAGCTATACTCTAGCTCTGTTTGCTGTAACACTATTGGGCTTCAACCATTCATTGCATGCAAAAAAGGACACCATTCTGTTAAATGGCATTGGTCTCATTCAAAGAGACGGTTCATTCACCGGCCTGGGGGGGGGAAACAAAAGGCCTGCCTGTGTGAGGAGTCCCGTATCGACCTCGCAGTGGAAGCAAACTGTCAGTGCGGCAAGGCGCTCCTGTTGTTCAGCTGATACGCGGGATAAATAATATGTCTTATGTGGATCTGCGTTATTTTTCTGAAGCCCGTCTCCGCTTCCTTGCTCCCTCCTCCAGCAGACGCACACACATAATCAAACACTGCAATGACCTATTTTCTGCATGCTTCACTGCCTCGCTGTGAATGAAGTTCACAAAGAAATGTGGCGTGCACAAAATATGACAAGACAAGTCAGAAGGGCTTCATATCCCTGCACTTTCTAAGAGTCAGCGGGTTAAGAGGTGGTCCTACCTTTTTGACTTGTGCCTCCTTGATTTTCTCCAGGGCGACTCTGATCTTCTCCGCCTTCAGTTTGGCAGCTTGCTCCTCCTAGATGAACACACAGGAGTGTGTTAATACAGCACGCACATTAAAAATGCCTTTTGATTTTATAGCCTCATCCTCGTCATACATCCGTCACTCCTTTGGCAGGAATAACACATGCAGCTATGCACAACTTCATGAAAAAAAGCATCTGGAATGATGGCGCCTTGTGTCACGGGCAGAAATCTAAATTTCCCCCATGCTCCAGGCTGCTTACCTGCCCCCTCCAACAAGATGCCATCACCTCCATTCCTACAGGTTGTGTAAGCTTCCACGTGTGTTTTATTACTTTAGCGTGATTGTTCAATTAGACAAATAGACGCAATTATGATAAAAGACGCCGTGGCGGCATTGGCTCTTCAAAAATGGTGCTCTGCTTGCTGTATATGGTTTCATGCCGGATTCATGTGGAGCTGCGGCGGTTTCTTTTGATCATGCTATACAGCAGAAGGGGAGACAATAGTAGAAGATCCCTCAAGGGTGAGAGGCTGCAGATGAATGCAGAATCAGCTCAAAGAGCATCCATGCAGCCAACTTAAAGATGCAACCCCCCCCCAAAAAATGCTCAAAATGGGAAATATCCAGATGTGTCTGTAACTTGATTTAAAAATACGACAAAAGCGATTTCTTCTACTCAAATGAACAAAAATCTGTTTGCCACCTTTCACACCAAGATTAAAAAACAAAAAGTTATTCCAGCGCGATTCCCAGTCGATCAAAGTCCGCCTTGCATCCACATCTGCCGTCACCCAGAGATGACAGCGGTCGAGCTAGCTGAGACGGTGCTGAGCGAGGATTTTAGTGATGGCATGGGTTCACTGACACGCAGACATGTGTGGCCAAGACGAGCACAATTTGACTAAAACGCCAAGTGAGACAGTAGGGAGGAAAATGCCCCTCCCCCTTCCTGCTTCCTCCCCTCTCCATCACTCGTTTCCTCTCTTTACAGCAGATGCAGGGGTTTGGGAGCGTACCCAATCGAGGGGAGCATAATCCCCACAAAAAAAAAAGGTACCAGGAGGAAGGGCCGCCCAACCAGCAAACTCCGTTTAAAGGACCCTGAACCCTTTAGCCAATCGGGACGAGGCGGGGGAAGACCATGACCGACTATGGCCCTGAAGCTAACTCACAGAGACAAGGACGGAGAGTGGGTGAATGAGAAGCTGAGGTGCTGAATATTTGAAGTCATGTGTACACACGAGCATGTGTGTTCAAAGAGAGAGGGTGAGGGGTATTAACAAGTGCTCCCCAAGCCTCTTATCTCAAGAAGCCCCTGCCCACTCCTTGACCCAGACTGCCTTTACCACATGACCGACTCTAGGGCACACACACATTAAAGCTTTAAAATCAAGAGTGTGTTTGGCCAACACATAGTGGCAGGCTTTTACCCACCCCAATGTGTGTGTGTGTATAAGACTGAGTAAGAGCAACAGTGATCAAGAGGTCACGCGAGTTGTACAGATTACAGTCGGGAGTCAATTTGAGTCCCACTGTGGGTTCAGCCCCAGAAATGTCAGCGTGGACAGCCCGCCCCCCCCTCCCTGCTCTCTCATCTATTATTCCCTCTCTACACGACACATACTCCCTGCTTTTTATTACACATTAGACCGACTCCGATTCGACAGGCGTTTTCCCTTCCACTTTCACAGTGAGCCACACCAGAGCCAATTTTTAAAAAAGCTCTTCTGCCTAGTCTGTAAAAAAAAAAGAAAGAAAGAAAAAAGAAAAAATCTTGGCAGCCACTTCCTTTGATGTTTTTCCACTCTCTCCCGCCTCGCTTGTTCCCAAGCATCCCGCGCTCATTCAGTATTCTGATTCACGAGCGAGGAGAGGGAGAAAACTTGTGAGTCCAGGCGATCGCGGCTCGCCTTCTTCTGTTCTCTGGTGGAAAGTGTAACACTAACACATAAACCCCCTCACAGCCTGTAAAGATGCAGGTTATCACTCCTCTCCCCTTAAAAACAACAACAACATAATATACAGCTGAGTGCTCTGTTTACAGCAACAGGCACCAATGTTTTGAACCACTGACTCAATCCAAAAGATTTGGTGACTATGTCCGTGTAGCATCTCAGTTATCCTGGTATTCTAAGGAGCTTGGAAAGAAAAGCGACTGGTGGATGTCCTTGGTGGGACATGTCCTTGTCTATGGCACAACATAGAAGAGCCACTTCGAGAGGACAAGACCCAGCTGTACGTCTGCATCTAAAGGATCCCAATGTCCACATTTTGGACAGAGAAGACAGATGGAAGAGGAGCGAACGAAGCCATCTATGTCCAATTTGAACGACCATCCTCGAACAGAGGGGATGGCTTACAGCACCAACTGTCTAACACCTAAAATTAAGGACGGCTTAACGCCCACTCATATCTTGCGTCAGTTGATCGCAACAGGTCACATGATAGGGTGAGGCAAGGTCCACCCAAAACCTCTGCTGATAATAACCCTTTTTCACACCTTAGCTCATGTGACGATGCACATGATCAATAGTGCTAGGGTTTAAATACCTGGGACTCTCCACCATTTGGTTTTAGAACTGAAGAAGCATCTTGGATGAGAGGTAAAACATCATCAAGAAACTTAAAGAAGTCCAGTCGCTTTTCTTTCCCAGCTTCTTAGATAAGGTGACTGCAAATCTTATATCCAGCTCTAAAACTAGAGGGCAGATGAGCTGACAGTGTCGCTGCCGGCACCCATTATATTCAAATAATAAAGGACATCACTGAAAGGGCTATTTTACTGCCAACAGCCACTAATGGAGATCTCTGTGTGGAAAAATGCACTGTAAACTTTCAGTTTCTAAAGACACACACTGTAACATTCTCTTCTAGTTAATCAGCATTATAGAATTTAAGGATTTAATATCCAACCAACTTGGAATCAGCTGATTTGTACTTTCTTGCTATGCATTGTGTATTAAAGGTGGGATAACTCACAAGCAATGAGCTCCAAACTACAAATATGCACACATGTGCTCAGCATAAACTTTGCAAAGAAGCCAAAGGCAGCGGCCAAAGCATCTACTCAGAGGTTAAAAAGAGGTGATGGGAGCATCAGACACGACTTGGATTATAGAGACATTTGAATAACAAAACTAAGCTGGAGTCCAACTTAGATTTGTTTTTTCAGTTAAACACAAATTCCACTTTTGGCTAGCACGTAGGGTTATTATCTCAACTATGGGTGAATCAAGTAATGGTTTCGTCTCTATAATGCGAGAAACTCATTGTGAGCAAGCTCCATCTGCTGAAGACTGTGACATGTGACCAAAACCCACAGAGAAATCTATCAAGTAGACTTTGTTCACATTTGTTTTGCCTCTTGTGTAACCAGTTTTTCTAAAGCACAGATGAACCTTTCAAAATAAGACAAAGGCAACAAATCATGCCATTTAAAGCCCTGCAAGCCCTGGTTTCTGTTTCAGACTTCTAAACAACTCAAAATATTAAAAGTAATGATTTAATACTGTGTAATAATTGCTAATACATTAATAAATTTTCCCCTTGTAAGCTTTTATTGCTCAGAGAAGACTGAGTGCAAATCAAAAGCCAGCAACATGAAGTTAGAAAGAAGGATCGAACAAAATGAAGGCCCACAGACAAAACACCACATGTGGAAGCATGTTTGAAAAAATCCCCTGTTCTATAATCACTCTCAGCATGGACTTTACCAAAAAGACGAGCAGAGCAGAAGACAGGAGCAATGCACACAGACACAAACACGAATGCACAGGAGAGGAATGAAAGCAAAAAGTGTATGAGGAAGTCACCTTGGTCAGGAGGTGAGAAGGCTTTCCAGCTATGCTTTTCAGAATGAGCGAGGTTTCTTGGTCCAGATAGGAGTGCTTGGGTGGAGGAGAAGATGGGGGGGAGGATAAGAGCAGAAGAAGAGACAAAATATAGAGAAGTCAGTGCCAGGTGATTCTGTGAGGCTTATTAATCACAAGTGTTTTGATCTGTTTTTGTACAGAGAAGCGTGGAAGCGAGAGAAGGTTTCATTAATGCGCAGCAGCGATGGTTGTCATTAGATACAGCTGTTGGAAAAGAGGCAATGATTATGAGAGAGAAAAGCGTGAATACACGGTATATTCTCTGAAACCTAGACTCCACAGCTACGCTATCACACCACACACACACACACACACACACACACATCAAACACACACACAACAGCTCAATTGTAAAAATTCTGTTGCACCTAACGTCCATTAACCTTGAAACAATTAACTGTGCACACCAACTGGAGAAATTGCTCAATCATTCACAAACACACACACTTACGGTGGCCCGATCCACTTCGCCCTCTCGTGAGGTGAAGTCAAGCTGCCGTCTGGCCGGCTTACTGTTGGCTCGTCGCAGCGTGACATGCTGGAAAAGTCGGGTGGGTGCAGGCAGGTGGGGTGTGTGCGTGTGTGAGGACAGAGGCCGTGGATATAAGAAAGGATGCAAACACAGACAGTGTAAACACATGCAGGTGAAAACAGGGGGGGACATGCGAGAGACTGTCATGGCCGTCCGACCACGGCATTGCTTTTGTTAGTGAACAATAGGTAGGTGTTGACATTGTAATCCGAGTCACACTTGAGATTGCAATGCATTCACCGACAGCATTGAATGCACAATACAGAGGCTGCATTGTGCATTTACTTTGGATAGACTTCAGGCATGCAGTTCCTTCCAATCAGTATGTGTGTATAAACATGCTTGGCTTCGTTAAGGTCTATGCTTAGTACCTTCTCACTTCTCCTGACTTACAAACTGAACTGACCGCAGTCCTTGTGTACATTACACTTACCGTCACATCTGGAAAGACTCATTTAAACCGTCTGATACGTCTATGTGTGTGTTTCAGTGTGGCTCGTACCTCTGTATTGGTTTGGTTTTGTCCTTGTGAGATTGGGCTGCCCTGGCTCTCCACCTCTCCTCCTGTCACTTTATCCGTATCCAGGGAGTCCATGCTCGAAGCTGAGGCACATGCTGAGTTCACACTAGACCGCTGGGATGGTGCGTCCTGCTCGGTGACAGCACCGACCGAACCAGTCCTCCGATGCTGCCCTCCGCCGCCGGACGATCCGGACGAGGGCCGCCGGATGGTGCTGGAGGAAAATGAGGACGAGGAGGAGGAAGAGGAGGACGTCTGACGTGCCGCTTCATCCATGCTCAGGGAGGCCTTCTCTAGCTGAGAGGTGATGTCATCTAGGGAGATGTTAGAGGCCGCGGGGCGAGCAGTGGCGCTGCCACCTCGTACCGTGTTGGCCGGTGATGCTCGAGTACTGCTGCTTGCACTTCCTGTTGGGGCGGGTTTCAATTTGACATTGAAATTAATATTTGATTGAATTAAATACTGACACAAGAAAGATCTCAACAAAACTGACTGTTTTCTACAAAGCTTCACCTTTTCTCTCTCTGTTATAACTTTGCAGGTGTTTATTTCTCTCAACCCCAGTTTTACACTTTTGTTTCATCCCACAAAGACTTCCTTCTTTTTGATGCACAGCAGTGTTTCCTAACCACAGGGGGTATATTTGTGTTGCAGCTAGGGGGGACATGGAAAGATTACCAATGGTATCAATTTCAAAATCCTAAACATGAAAAAATGGTTGATATAGGTAGCCTAAAATGTGGATAAGTAATTGAACTTGTTTGCTAAATGCAGTATGTATATGGAATACAAATACAGCTGCTGAATAAACAGCAAAAACTACAAGCTAGCTAAGAGCATGAATAAAAAGGTGGAAACCAGCAGTGTAGAGCAGGGGTGTCAATATAAGGCCAGGGGAACAGAATTCCCCTCCCAAAGACTCCAATCTGGCCCGCTCGATGGCTTTTGAAGATTTCAGACTTTAGTTTTACAGCTTATACTGCCCTACTTTTTCTTACATTAAGATATTTCTGGGATTTTAAATGTGTAGTTAAAGAAAGGGGAGTTCCACAGGTCCAGCGCACCTAAGATTAAAGTGGGCTGCATTGTATATATTCCTCCTGATGGCTATTTATTCCTGCTGTCTTACTATTTATATTTTATTCTTGCACAGTTGGTGTGGAGAACCCATAATATGATTGTACATGGACAATGACAATAAAGGGTTATTCTTATATTCTATGTGGGCCACCCATGGTGTAAAATATGGCTAGCAGGTAAGCTAAATGTGATGGTTCAATAACAGATGAAGAAGACTAAAAACATTCCCGATCAAGGTTAAAATGAGGTTAAATGAAGATGAGGTGGAAGTGATGGAAGGGCTCTTGAGCTCATCTGAATGGGCTGCAAGCTGGAAGCCACTGCTGCGCAACAATCTCAGACATCATGCCTTACAATTGAGTACTATCTGAAAGGATACCAAATGATAACAGTCTCACTTCTTCACAATGAGTATCAAATTGTTTAGGAACTGCACTTTTTGTTTTAAAAGCCCATAATTCAGCAGGACTACCTCCGCTGCTTCCTCCTCCACTGGTGCCTGTGTGCTTAGTGCTAGCACTGCGCCCTCCAGCTGCCCTCTGCTGGCCTTTGCTCTGGCTGCGAGAAGTTGAGTTTGGTTTGGAAATGGTATTCAACTCCTGCTCGATGGAGCACAGGTCAGCCATCAGGGCATCCAGGTCCACTGTGTCACCTTGGTTCAACGCCTCTGCAAGGAGCAAAGCAAGAGTTATTGCCAAAGAGAGGGTTATACTAATAAGTGCATCTCTGTTCTGTTGTTATACTGAAGTGAGATCTTACCATTTATGTTATACATTGAGAAGCGGTAGGAAAAGTTGGCCATGTTCGTCTCCTGCCTGAGAGGAGGTTTCTGCAGTGCTTTCTGCGGCCTGCCATCATCCAGACTCTGCAATGTGCGCACACACACGAAACTCATAAGATGCACATTTGCAAAACACACATTCACACTCTGACACTACAGTCAAAGCGCATCGTAACAACCTCGTCTGCCTGCTAGACTCCTCAGTTACCCACAGACCTGCACAAATACTATGTGGTGGTGGTGGGAGTGGAGTTGCTAGGATACAGTAAAGGGAGACAGGATTAGCAGTGTTAAGGTTGCTATGGATACAGCCCCATCCTTTCTCGCGGTGCTCTGTCTACGTCTGTGTAACAAACCACCCCCTTAGTGTGTGTGAGAGTATTTGTATTTTAACCTGTGTGAGCTTGTCCAGCTCTCCCAGCCAGGCTCCAAACATCTTGTCCAGGTCCTGGTCCTCCTTGTCACTGTCTTCCTCTGCTCCATGGTCCAACTCATCATCAGATACCTGGTCCATCTACACACACACACACACACACACACACACACACACACACACATACACACACACACACACACACACACACACACACACACACACACACACACACACACACACACACACACGCGCGCGCACACACACACGCAAAAGAAGCAGAAAATTTCACATGATTACAAGTCACACCCACATAGCAGGAATGATCTAAATGAGGAAAGAGGGGGGAAAAAAACAAAACAAAAACACAAAAACAACTTAATCTCATGCCAACCTCACTGCCTGTTACCATGACAACCGTTCGCAGACCCCTAGCGGGCACCCTGTGCTGTGCGATCACCCTGTGGTGTCTTGTGTGCTGTGCACCACTGACACGCCCAGCACCTCTACTACCAGCTCAAGAGCCAACACAGAGGGAGGAGCAGAGCATCTTCCTCATGTCTGCAGAAAAAAAACCCACTCTTTTCTTTGGAGACCCACAGATCACTGTTAAATTAAGATATTAATCAGACCACACGGCGCAATAGCATGTGCTGTTAAAGGCCGGTGGATAATAGGATGGAAAGCATAGCTGGCTCGCTGAGAATGCCCAGCTGTTTTTAGTCAAAGGTGATGGCAGAGCTCCCTCTAGTGGGTTAAATGGAAAGTGGCGCAACACCAGCATGCATCTGTTTGCCTGGCCGACTTAAGTCTCATATATCTAACAATTAAACAGAATCAGAATAAAATCAGGAGGAAATCTGACACTCTAGAGTCAAAGCTAAAACGTCTAACCCAATCCTTTTTCATACACACAAGGACGCCACAGTAGACAAAACACTGAATGAATGATATGAAGGAGGCAAACATAACAGAAAATGGCTCCAACTGACAACGCAAAACAATCTGCAGCCTTGATGTGTGCCTACATTCATCCTCATTTCATTCTCTTTCTAATGCGATGGTCTCAGGTCCATGTGGAAAAAAAAATATGTTCACCCAAATGCCGATGTGCACCGAGGAAGATCGTTCACTAATCTGGTGACAGACCTGTCAAGTGGAAGCAAAGTACGGTTGAGCACAGGAGGAGGAGGAGGTCATGGCTCTGATACCCTGTCAGATGCCAGAGGACGTGCCGAGTGCAGAAACACATTTTCTTACTGCACACTTTCAGCTTGGCACACACAAAGAAAAATATTACACCACTGTATATTCAACACTGGATATTAAACAGACTAAAGCAGAACGCTCAACCTGTTTTTCCCTTGGTGTGCACTCCTGTCTTGGCATAGTCCGGAGTCCCCAAAACAGGCCAGTCAGATGGAATATTCCAGAGTAATCCCATTGATGTTTTCAGAGGGTGTCATTCCATGTTATCCCAGCTATGTGGTGTCAGTCACTAGAGGGGACTGTACCAAACTGGGATTAACCCCGCTGACGACCCCTGTTCTTTTGATCTAGCAAAACGTCTGCTTGTATGTGTGAGTATTTGTGTGCCGTTGCCTTTATGGCTAAAATGAACACTTGGTGATCTGAAAGCTATGCTTTGTTGTTAGAATGTGATGAAGGTCGTAGCAAACCAGATAAAAGATGAAACGCTAAGCAGCTGAGGGGTGCTTATTTCAGACAAATTCCAGCATGCTTACTACTAGAAATCACTGTATGCGGTGCATGTAGAAGACGTACCCTGAAGCTGGTGCTACAAGCTTGTATTACAGACCAAAGCTGTCACTGCAGAGTGTTTATTATACTTTAGATGATGGATAGCTTCCTTCTTCCGGCACTCTCATTAAAACACATGAGAAACATGAACTTGTCATCTTGTGGAGGAAAGAATGGAGTCAATGAGTATGTAAACAAAAACAACCCAGTGTGTATATATGTGCGCTTAAAATTACATCCATGCACTCATGAACGTGTGTGGCAGTCACAACAGGAAATAGCCAGGATGTGCAAAATTCCTAATTTCCCACATGGCTTTTTTCCTTGCAGGAAGCTCCAGCTGTCCTCCAGCTTATCCATACCACTTATAGTGGCGGTAGTGGTGGGGGTGGCACTTGTACATTTGCAGGAATGGGGGGGAAGAAACTTGAGGTGTTGAAAGTGAGATCCAGACCTCACCACCCTTATGCCCACACATGTTACATCGTAACACAATTTGAATCGTTTGTCTCCTTGGCTACCATGAAATGTGGCTCTATATGGGGACCCTTCAGTCACAGCCATGATTTTGTAAAATCAGGTGAGTATCTCAAGCTATGGCATCAAGACGAGCGCAAGAGGAAATGACTAAAAATCAAATGAGCCTGCACTGCCATTATTCCCCAAGGTTATTCCATGTGTAAATACACATACAGGAAATGAGTCGCACTGCAGGACACTTAACAGCTGTGTGTAAACAGCCTGGAGTCCTTTATAAGAGTCTCTTCCACACACATACACACACAGACTTGTGGTCAGGTCAAAAAGCAAGTACAAATATATATAGATATGCTGTAGGTGTGTATTCAGTCCAGATGCAGAAAGAGTAAAAATAGAGCAAAAACGATGCAGAGCCAAAAACAAAGAGCACTTTGGAAATAGCTGCTGTCATTCTAATGGAATCACGGCCTTAACAGAAGATGCTGCTGCAGGTTTAAGTGAATTACCACCTGAGGCCCTACTTTTAAGCTTATGGAGCATGACCTGAGAGAGACACGAGGATAGGAGGTTGTGTTTGTGTATATATGCGTGTGTATGTAGTCTGCAAATGCACTCCTACAGGCATCATTGCAAACTAAACACCAGCCGTGGCCTTTTCCCTGCTGATGCTGCATGGTCCTGTCTGTCTTGTCTGAGCATGACCGCCATTCATCTGTCTCCTGTGACTGCTGGGCAGCTCAGAGATCTGGGGTGAAAGAATAAAGGTCAAAGGCCTTTTCCCGTGGAGTCTTTTTTTTTTTTGGTTTTCATGTAAACTCGCAGTGGCTGCTCATCTATTTATGCAGCGTTTTTTCTAAGAACAAAAATCTCAAACTGTTAAAGAAAGCGCAGTAAGCACCCAGCGCTGAGGAGGTTGAGTATGTGGGAGGAGGAGGAAGACGTGTCTATCTTTAGTCCAAGTCATTCAGATCAGAGCGTATCGAGAGGATTAGAAAGGGAGCAATATGAAAACTCGATGTTAAACTGTTGTTTAATTAACAATATTAAACCCTGTAGGGAAGCACAAATATGCAGGAATAGCTGCAGTCTTGGGTCTTTATTCTCTTAATATTCAGATGAAAATGTACTATATTAAGATCAAGAGTTATTTTGTGAAAGTTATGAATTCATATGATCTCAAAGTACGAGAGAAGGGGAAAACAAGTGCCGACTGTAATGCACCGACAGCTTCAGCAGCACCTGTTCTGCCTGCAGTCGACATACAAATGATCAACTACTCTTAACATTTGAGTTACAAATAAAGCCTTTCATATTTCCATCGCACAGGAAGTCAAGAGGGCTGGGTGGTGGAAAATGACTCGAGCTGTGTAAACACTGTTGTGACCAGATACTCCACTGACTGAATGTTTCCCCAAGTACTTCTAAATATGCTATTTTTGGACAAAAAACTCCACCAAGCCTCAACTGTATGTGTGCTGAAATGTTGCAGTGAGGAGTGTAGGGGTCATCTCCAAAGCCACCTATTCCTCACCGCTATTTTTCGCTTCTCTCAAACGATCTTTGCAAAAATAGCTTAACGCCAGTGTCTGACACCTCTCATCTAAAAATATTCTCAACAACTTATATCACCATTTCAAAATACGGTAAAATGAGAAACATGAGGCAATAAAACCAGAAACAGCGTGACAATAACAAACTCTGAATTTCTGCGATGCCCACACTGTCGTGGTGCTTGGCTCTAGATGGAGAGTGGGAATTCTTGAGAGTTTAATGGGACACAAAATGCTCATGCCGATAAAGGTCTCTGGGGGCAGATGCAAACAAAGCTGAAACAGAGGAAGCAGACAAAGCATCTACAACACCCATAGACAGGAATAGCTCCAAACACACTCTGTCATCGGACCTGGGAATATTAATGCATGTCCCATGCTGTAAATGCTGCTGATAACCTCTGGGGAATGTAGTGTGTGGAAAAAAAGTGAAGGAATCTAGAGGGAAAAACAGACAAACAAAACCATGTGATTATGCATATCTGATAGGCCACTTTTAAATCCACCTTATTTATATCGATATGGATTGGGTAATCTCTTAGAAACGAAAGGATACCACATCAGTTAATGGAAATTAAACTTATCAACCTACAGAGGGCTGAATTCAAAGACATCCTAAAAATCAAACCCCATGGTGCCAGGCAGTGAGCATAGGGGCCCATAAGAGGAAGTCAAGCCCTCAGGCTGCACTGCTACTGATTGTTTGGTCAGAGACGGTCACACCAGCATCTTGCTGGAGGTCATTTTGTAGCTCTTGCAGTGCTCTTGCATGTCTGCTCACTAAGGAGCAGACAGCGGTCCTGGTGATCGGTTAAGGGTCTTGTACGGCCCTGTCAGGCTCTCCTAAAGTAAATGCCTGTCTCCTGAAATCTGTCTCCTGTGCTGGGAGAAACTGCAAGCCTTCAGGCAATGGCACAAATTGATGCACCATCCTGGAGGAGCTGGAGTACCTGTGCAGCCTCTGTAGGGTCCAGGTATCGCCTCGTGCTACCAGTAGTGACAATGACCGTAGCTAAACGCAAAGCTAGTGAAAAAATAGTCAGAAAAGATGGAGAGGGAAAAAAGTCAGTGACCTCTAACTGTAAAAACCATTCTTGTTTTAGTGGTCGGGCCATTGTTGTCCCTTTAGTGCACCTGCTGTTAGTCTCATTAACACCAAAGCAGCTGAAACTGATGAGCAAACCCCCTCTGCTACTTACCAGATCAATATCCCACAAGTTTAACTGACTTGATGTTGCACTCTGATTAAAAAAAAAGTTTCTTTTTTTAGCAATGTATTTATAAAATAAGTGCTGTATATTCTAGCACTGTAGCGTATAAAAACATGCAAATCTATAAACACAAAAACAG